CCTGACTGATGATGAGTTTGAAGAACCGATCTATGATGACAATGAGCTAATCGGATCGAAAAAACATGAAGATGATGATGAACTGATTGGAAGTTTGGATTCACTCGAGAAATTCTTGGGAGATCGAAGAGCTATTCAACCAGCCTTACCAAAGGATGGCAAAGCCGAAATTAAGGTACCATATATCCATTTAGTTCAACAAAATCAATTCTATGGTTATTCATTCGAAAACCCGATAGACCATATCGAGACGTTTGAAGAATTATGTGCAACCATTGTAGCAAATGGGGATTACCATAAGTGTAGTCTTTTCCCATTCTCTCTTAGAGATAATGCCAGCAAATGGCTAAAATCTTTGCCACCTGCTTCACTAAAAACGTGGCAGCGTGTAGAACTGCTTTCCTAAATCGTTTTTACACTAGAAATCGTTCAAATCTCTTAAGAAACAAGATAAGAACTTACAAACAAAAAGAAGATGAAGATCTTTTAGATACTTGGGAAAGATTTAGGGAATACCAAAGAGATTGTCCACACCATGGATATACCGAGGAATACCTGCTGGGTATCTTCTATCGCGGTATAACTCCAGAGTTACGAAACTCTTTCGACACAGCAAGTAATGGAGACTTCTCAACTAGATCTGTATAAGATGCTTATGTTTTCATCAAAAATTTTGCAAACAGCATTCGTAATCAAGCAACCTTTGGTAACTCTGCACTTCCTGAGAACAAAGAAGAGATTTCAGAAGTTATGAAGTGTCTCCATCACATAATGAGTCATCTTGGATTGCAACAACCAAACAAGGTACATAATACGTTTAACTTTGACGGTTGGGACACCCCAATGGATTCTTATGATCAAGGGATGGTTAACACTGCAGAAGTCTATCAAATTCAAGATTTTCCATTCGTTTCTGATTACCGCGGGTCCATTCATTCGGACCGCAGCCAAGCAAGCTTTCACTGCAGTCGTGATGATGCTGACCGCGGCCAAGACCTGTTTCACCACAGTTGCGAGCCTTCTGACCGCGGGAAATTGTCTTCCGAACTTGTCTTGAAACCACCTTCCGTACCAATCTTGGCTATTCAATCTAATTGCAATTCCTATCCTAGTTTTCCCTCTTCTGAAGCTGAAAACCTAAACAGAAAGATTCTAGAGCTTGAAAAATCTAGGTCAGAAGAAATTAGTGAACTTAGATCTGAACTAAAAACGATGCAAGAAGATTTTAATGAAAAATTTTCCACCCTCCTTAGCCTGATAATCAAAACTAATTCCAAAAATATAGATAATTCTGAGGAGGAGCCAAGTGAAAAATCTTTCGAATGCTCAAGCGAAGCAGATCCCTCCGATCATGTGAAAGCTATCACACTTAGGAGTGGATTAGCTTACAAAGAGCCTGAATTTCCTAAAGATCCCGAAGATGAGGAAAAAGGTAAGGAAAAGGAAAAAGAAAGAGGAAGAATCACGATTGAAGATGTTGAAAAAGAAGTGGTAGGAGAAAAGGATGGAGAAGAAGTAAGAGAAGATTCATCCCGGGAAATCCTCGGAGAAGACCCGATTCCACCTCCACCAACTCGTGTCTATAAACCTAAACCTCCATATCCTAGAGCCTTAAGAGCCCCTAAGAAAGAGAAAGAAAAAGCTAAGCTGAAAGAGCTAATCGATCAGTTAAATGTGAGATTACCTTTCGTAGAAGCTTGTGCTATGATTCCTGCTTTAAGAAAATACATGAAGGGTATTCTAACAAATTCTTTAACTAGTGAAGAAGGTGTTATGATGATAACCCATGAATGTAGTTCTATCCTGCAAAGCCGAATCACTGAAAAGAAAACCGATCCTGGAAGCTTTGTACTTTCATGCACCATCAATGATGTAGCTTTTGAGCGTGCTCTCTGTGATTTAGGATCTAGCATAAACATGATGCCTCTTTCAGTAGCAAAACGTTTAGGACATCACACTTTCCAGCTCACTAAAATTTCCTTAGTATTAGCTGATCGTTCTGTTAGACAACCTGTAGGTATCTTAATTGATGTTACTGTCGAAATCAAAAAATGTTTCATCCCCACTGATTTCGTAGTTCTAGAAGTAGAAAGAGAACCTAACGATCCACTTATTCTTGGACGACCATTCCTATCTACAGCCGGAGCCATAATCAATGTTCCTGAAGGAAAAATTGACCTTCATCTAGCCGGCCTAGTTATGCAGTTTGACATGAACAAAAGTTTTGATAAACCGACTCTGGATGGCAAAATTTGTTGGGTTGATGAGTTAGACGAATTTATTGAGGAATTCTATGAAGATCTGTTTCTAGACAACCCTTTAAGTGTCACGCTTCACCCGCAAAAGACGAACGCAATTTCCTTGAAGAAATTTCGAGTGAGTTCGCACGTATGCTTGATAAATCCGAAACTTAGAGGAAAACTTTAAACTATCTACATCTTATGGACCAAACAAACATTCCTACACCTCATAAAGACACTGCTGCAGCAATTAATGATCCTTGGAGCGAGCTTAAAGCCCCTAAAGTCGAGCTTAAACCTCTTCCTGTCGGACTTAAGTACGCTTTCGTTGGACCAAATTTAACTTTTCCTGTCAAAATAAACTCTGGTTTGACGAAAGAAGAAACCACAATGCTGTTGACTAACCTTAGGATATTCACTTGATGACATACGTGGAATCTCCCCAGATCTTTGTATGCACAAGATAAATCTAGAGGATAATGCTAAAAACTCAATCGAAAGTCAAAGGAGACTAAACCCTAATCTCATGGATGTTGTCAAGAAGGAGATTATGAAGCTTTTAGAAGCTGGAACAATCTTTCCTATCTCAGATAGCACTTGGGTTAGCCCAGTTCACGTTGTTCCTAAGAAAGGAGGAGTCACTATCATTAAAAATGATAAGGATGAAATGATCGCTACAAGAACAGTAACTGGACATCGTATGTGCATCGATTACCGGAAGCTGAATGCAGCAACTAGGAAAGATCATTTCCCACTTCCCTTCATAGATCAAATGCTAGAAAGGTTAGCTAATCACCCTTACTATTGCTTCCTTGATGGATACTCCGGATTTTTCCAAATTCCTATTCGCCCGGAGGATCAAGAAAAAACGACATTCACTTGTCCATATGGCACGTTTGCTTACCGACGTATGCCTTTTGGACTGTGTAATGCACCTGCTATCTTCCAGCGGTGCATGATGAAATCTTCACAGACTTTATTGAAGATTTCATGGAAGTATTCATGGATGATTTCTCTGTCTATGGATCTTCTTTTGAAAAATGCTTAGGCAATCTTGGTAAAGTTCTGCAAAGATGTGAAGATAAGCACTTAATATTAAATTGGGAAAAATGTCACTTCATGGTACAAGACGGAATCATGCTTGGGCATAGAACTTCGGGAAAAGGAGTTGAAGTTGACAAAGCTAAAATCGAAGTCATGACCAGCCTACAACCTCCCACAAACGTAAAAGGAATTCGTAGTTTCTTAGGACACGCAGGATTCTATAGGCGATTCATAAAAGACTTTTCTCAAATAGCTAGTGTTGGGGTCGGTTTTCACCCCACGTAGATAAGACCATCTCAAAATGACTAAGTATGGAAGAAAGACAAGCGGGAGAGCCGTTCTCACCAAGCGGGAGAGCCGTTCTCACCAAGAAAAGTGGGAGAGCCGTTCTCACAAAGTGGGAGAGCCGTTCTCACCAAGTGGGAGAGCCGTGAAGATAGACCAGTAGGGAGAGCCGTGAGGAAAAGAGAGATGGGCCGAGCCGTATTGCAAGAAATGGGCCGAGCCCCTCTCCAACATGCCTGGGCCGAGCCGTGCCTCGGTGAGGTGGACCAGCTCACGTCTCGACTCAAATGGCAAGTGTCCCGAGCCGTGGAGAAGTTTAGATGGGCCGAGCCGCGGAGAAGCTTAGAAGGGCCGAGCCGTGGAGAAGTTCAGATGAGTCGAACCGTGGCCTTGAGAGACAAAGCCCATAAAAACCCTAGGCGAAATACAAAGGCGGTGAGTCGCACGAGGCGATAAGGAAATATTCCGAAAATCTCTCCCGAGATTCTCGGCTAGGCGGTTCAGAGAGTTAGTATAAATAGACGATGTATACAATTCATTCTGTAACTTTTGCAACCCTAAGCAATAAGAGCTAAAAACTTTTACAGCAAGAAGAACTTTCTTTCAATCTTTCTGTTCTTGACGATAAACCCTAGAAGTTTCCGATCCCTTAGTTTTCTTTAAACAAATTTCTGGTTGTGCGAGTTTTGGCTCACACAATTTGGCGCCGTCTGTGGGGAATCGAAACTTTCTTACTCTAAATCGACAAGACTTTAAGATCAAAAGAACATGGCGAGCAACACCCCCGACGATAACAAGAACAACACCGGTAACGGCGCGGAGAAGGACGCTCCGGCATCGGGCACAATGACGACAACGATCGAAACCCAAGAGGAGATGCGAAACATGATGGCTGAGTTGATGAAGAAAATCGACGAACAGGATAAAAGAAACGAGGCGATTACAGAGAGGCTCGACGCGATGGCGGCTAAGCGACTACACCCAACTTGGAGAGCCGGGATCCCCGACCCGATGGATGGAATCCGGAGACGCTTCGATTTCTCGACACCTGCAGAAGCCTCAGGGAGCGGCGCAAGAAACCCCTCGGCTCCTCCAATGTCTCGTCTCCTCGACGAACAGACACCCACGGCGACCCGAGTCAATATGACCGAGCCGCCCCCTCTCTGCCGAAACTCAAGACGACGAGCCGGCGAAGAAGAAAACGATGCGATCGATATAGACGCCCAGCAGAACGATGGAACCGCGAATCTGCAACAAACCGGCTCGGCTCGGCAAATAAGTCAAGAACGGCGTCCGAACTGACGAAGTTTCCGACCCGAGCCGCGGCGAAAATCCAACCGAGGAGGAAGAAAACCTCCAATGGATCGAGCAGGCAGAGCGCAAAGACGAGCCGAGGAGAGAGGAGCGAGAGCGACCCCCCAATCAAAAGGAATGACTCACGCACAAACCCTCGAACTCAAAGAGCTGCGAGCCTTGATTGCTCGGACAGTAGCTGAAATACGCGCCATGAAATCCCAAGTGCACAACGCGACAAGCGCCGCACCCGAAATCAACCGAATGCTTGAAGAAACTCAGAGAACCCCATTCACTGCAAGAATCACGGAGGCCAGGATTCCCGAGCCGGGGAAGGTGAGAATCCTGTTCTACGAAGGGGCAACCGACCCGAAGGCACACATCACAGCGTTTTGGATAGCGATGGGACGAGCCTTCACAAAGAACGCCGCTAAACTCACCGAGCGTGAAATAGATGCCGGATACTGCCTGCTCTTCGTGGAGCATCTCAAGGGAGCCACACTCGAGTGGTTTTCGAGGCAGGAACGAAATTCAATCGGCAATTTTCAACAGCTCTCCGCTTTGTTCCTTAAACAATACTCAATGTTTATGGACAGAGGAACATCTGATGCCGACCTGTGGACACTATCCCAAGGACCGAACGAACCGCTTTGGGATTACATGGCAAGATTCAAGGCAGTCGTATCCAAAATAGAAGGGATAAGCGACAAGGCTGCGCTCAAGGCTCTGAAGCGATCTTTGTGGTACAAATCCGAGTTTCGACGGGAGATGGCTCTCAACACGCCGCAAACAATCCAAGACGCTTTGCACCGATCATCAGACTTCGTCGTAAACGAGGAGGAAATAAAAACTTGGACGAGTAGTACGAAGCAACGAAAGCAGCAATCCAAAGCTCAATTTTGCTGCGCCCCGCGAAGAATGGCAACCCATCGAGCAACACAACAACGCAGAGCTCGGATGAACCTAGAAGCGGAGGCGCCCATAATTACCAGGTAGGCACCGGACGCCGAAGAGGAGAGCCGCGCAACAACACTTGGGTGAGAAAGTCCGCCAACTACGACGAGAAGGCTTTCTGCGAGTATCACCAGACCTACGGGCATTCAACGGCTCAATGCCAAACTTTAGGAGCAAAGCTCGCAGCAAAGATGGCAGCGGGAGAGCTCCAAAACGCGGTCAGCCTCAAAGACCTCGTCCCTAACGAACAACAAGAGTGAGCCGAGCCGAGCGGCGCGGCGGAACCCACGAGTTCTCCCCGACGAGGCGATAACCCCAAGCGTGACAGGAGAGGCTAACCTGAAGAGCGACCCGAGCCGAGGCAAAGGATCAATATGATCATGGGCGGATCTCAATATTACCAAGATACCGTGTCCTCCATCAAAGCCTATCAGCGCCGAGCCGAAGCAAAGGAGAATTGGACAGAACCAAGCAACATCCCAAACACAGTGATCTCCTTCGCCGAGGAGGAAACGGCAGGAATCGATCGACCTCACAACGATCCGTTGGTGATCGAGTTAACGATCAGGGATCATGATGTAGCAAGGGTGCTCATCGATACTGGAAGCTCAGTGAACGTCATCTTCAGGGAAACACTCAGAAGAATGGGGATCGACCTCTCCGACGTGGAAGCAATCCCCAAACCTCTAACCGAATTTTCAGGAGAAACGACGATGACTATGGGAACGATCAGACTTCCTGTGGTAGCTGGCGGAGTCACTAAGATCGTCGAATTCTGCGTCACCGATCACCCAGCAATATACAATGTGATCATGGGAACTCCGTAGATCAACGGGATGAGGGCAGTACCCTCTACCTATCATCTCTGCCTCAAATTCCCAACCCCAGCAGGTTTTAAAACGATCTGGGGGAGTCAGAAGGAGTCACGAATGTGCTGCCTAGCCGAGCACAAGCTAAGGAACCCCGTCACCGACGCACGAGCAGACGTCGACCGCAAAAAGATGAAGACAGACTGAGAGCCCGCGAACGAGCTCTCGAAACTCTTATAGCAATTACAGATCGCGGAGAGCCGCGAAACACGCGCCGAGCCAGTATGCGACGCAGTGGACTCGGTGTGTATAGATGAGGCGCGCCCGGAGCGATGCGTCGAAATAGGAACAAAACTAGAAGAGCCTCTGAGAAGCGAACTCCTTTCCCTTCTCAAGGAAAACATCAACACTTTCGCCTGGACAGCAGAAGATATGCTAGGCATAAGCATCGACGTGACCTGTCACGAGCTGAATGTGGATCCGACCTATAAACCAGTAAAGCAGAAAAGAAGGAAGCTCGGCCCCGAACGAGCTAAAGCAGTTAACGACGAAGTCGAAAGGTTACTCAAAGTAGGATAAATCGCCGAGGCCAAATATCCGGACTGGCTCGCAAATCCGGTGGTCGTGAAGAAGAAGAACGGCAAGTGGCGAGTATGTGTGGATTTTACCGACCTCAACAAGGCGTGCCCAAAAGACAGCTTTCCCTTGCCACACATAGACCGGCTCGTCGAAGCCACTGCAGGGAATAGACTGTTAACATTTATGGACGCGTTTTCCGGCTACAATCAGATCCTAATGCATCCTGATGATCGAGAAAAAACGGCATTCATAACTGATCGCGGGATATACTGCTACAAAGTCATGCCGTTCGGGCTCAAGAACGCAGGAGCAACGTATCAACAGCTCGTCAATAAAATGTTCGCGGCTCAGCTCGGAAAAACCATGGAAGTATACATCGACGACATGTTAGTCAAATCACTCAAGGAGGAAGACCACGTCGCGCATCTAAGGGAATGCTTCGAACAATTGAACAAGCACAACATGAAACTAAACCCGGTGAAGTGCAGGTTCGCGGTCACCTCTGGAGAATTCCTCGGCTATCTGGGAACTCACCGAGGCATAGAAGCAAACCCTAAGCAGATCAAAGCTTTAATTGAGATGCCCTCTCCAAGGACGAAGCGCGAAGTGTAGAGGCTCACAGGAAGAGTCGCCGCGCTAAACAGGTTTATTTCCCGTTCCACAGACAAATGCCTGCCCTTCTACGATACCCTCCGAGGAAACAAAAATTTTGAGTGGGACGAACGATGCGAGACGACTTTCCAGGAATTGAAGAATTATCTTGCGAGCCCACCAATCTTAGCAAAACCAGTCGAAGGAGAGCCGCTCTTCCTCTACATCGCAGTGTCTGCTACAGCTGTAAGCGGAGTGCTTATCAGAGAAGAACGATCCGAGCAAAAGCCCATTTTCTACATCATCCAGACAATGACCGACGCCAAGACTCGCTACCCCCAGATCGAGAAGGTCGCCCTAGCTGTCGTACTTTCAATCACATTCGATTGTTGTGCTCGCTACGCTTCCACTGCGCTCGATCCTACACAGCCCTAGCCAATCCGGTCGGCTCGCCAAGTGGGCCATAGAGTTAAGCGAATACAACATCGAGTATCGGAACAGGTCGTCTGCAAAGTCACAGGTGCTCGCAGATTTCCTCATTGAACTTCCCGTCGAAGCAACAAACGAGCTGACTCTAGACGAAGTGTGGACACTGCACATCGACGGCTCGTCGTCTAAACACGGCTCGGGAATAGGAATCTGCCTCACCTCTCCCACCGGAGAAATATTGGAGCAGTCTTTTCGCCTGAACTTCCACGCCTCGAACAACGAAGCAGAATACGAAGCACTGATCGCCAGCATACTACTAGCGCAGGGAATTGGAGTTCGAAAGATAAGAACCTTTTGCGATTCACAGCTCGTAGCATGTCAGTTCAACGGAGAATACGAGGCGAAGGATGGACGAATGGGAGCTTACCTCAAAATGGTCCGAGAGTTGGTGCAAAAATTCGATGAGTTCGAACTCACTCGCATTCCCCGAGGAGAAAACACCTCGGCCGACGCATTGGCAGCACTCGCTTCGACCTCAGCCCCAGACCTCCGACGAACGATCCCAGTCGAATTCATCGAACGTCCTAGCATCGAAGAGGTGGAAGGAGTTCGGCTGATAAATCCTCATGAACAAGAACCAGAGGACGACGAAGCCGTTCCTATGGACGAAGACGCCTCACCGGCCGAGCCGGAGTACGGCTGCGACAAAGAATGGCTCGGAGCTATCCGAGAGTATATCGCCGATGGAGAGGTACCAACCGACAAATGGGAAGCCCGCAAACTAAAAGCTCAGGCCGCGTGGTATGTCCTCGTCGATGGCGAGGTGTTTAAGTGGAGATTTTCAGGGCCTCTCATGACATGCGTCGAAGGACCGGAGGCAAGAAAGATCATGCACGAGGTGCACAGCGGCGCGTGCGGGAACCATTCCAGCGGAAGGTGGCTCGCTATCAAGATTAAACGGCACGGCTACTTCTGGCCCACGATGGTCAAGGACTGCGAGAAATTTACAGCGAAGTGCGAAAAGTGTCAGCGGCACGCCCCAACAATTCATCAACCCACCGAGTTGCTCTCGTCAATTTCATCACCTTATCCGTTCATGAGATGGTCGATGGACATCGTCGGACCTCTACATCGCTCGAAGCAGAAGCGTTTCCTGCTCGTCCTCACGGATTACTTTTCCAAATGGGTCGAAGCCGATTCCTACGCAAGCATAAAAGATGTTCAAGTCGAACACTTCGTCTGGAAAAATATCATCTGCCGACACGGGGTCCCCTACGAGATAGTCACCGACAACGGATCCCAGTTCATCTCAACACGCTTCGAAGCCTTCTGCGAGAAGTGGAAAATCCGCCTCAGCAAATCTACGCCAGGATACCCTCAAGGGAACGGACAAGCCAAAGCAGCCAACAAGCCAATCCTCGACGGTCTGAAAAAGAGGCTCGACGCCAAGAAGGGACGGTGGGCAGACGAACTCGAAGGAGTCCTTTGGTCTCATCGAACAATCCGCGCCGAGCCACCGGGGAAACTCCATTCGCTTTAGTCTACGGATCGGAGTGCGTAATTCCCCCCGAGGTGGATTTCCCAGGTATTCGACGAAGACTTCTACCAGGACAGGAGCATTAACTCTTTCTCTTTAAACGCCTCGTCGTTAACAAAACGGCTCGGCGTTAACTCTTGCTCTCGAAACGCCTCGTCGTTAACAAAACGGCTCGGCAATAACTCTTGCTTTCGAAACGCCTCGTCGTTAACGAAACGACTCGGCATTAACTTTTTCTCTCGGAACGCCTCGTCGTTAACAAAACAGCTCGGCACGAACTTCCTCTCGAAACGCCTCGTCGTTAACGAAACGGCTCGGCATTAACTTTTTCTCTCGGAACGCCTCGTCGTTAACGAAACGGCTCGGCACGAACTTCTTTTCGAAACGCCTCGTCGTTAACGAAACGGCTCGGCGTTAACTCCCTCTCTTAAAACGCCTCGTCGTTAACAAAAACGGCTCGGCACAAACTTTCTCTCGAAAGGCCTCGCCCTTTATTCGGCTCGGCATAACCTTCTCAAATCGCCTCGGCTCATCATTACCAAACAAAATCGCCTCGTCCTTAAACTTGCCTCGGCACCCTCGGCACTCCCTCGAAACGCCTCGGCGTCTTCATTCCCAAAACACCTCATCTGGGCTTATGTCATAACAGCTTGACTCGATGCTTTATCTTACGGTCAGGAGTAATGGACCGCGTCAGTCTCGCCTCCGAAACTGACGAGCTGGAGGGCTAACTGTTGGGGTCGGTTTTCACCCCACGTAGATAAGACCATCTCAAAATGACTAAGTATGGAAGAAAGAAAAGCGGGAGAGCCGTTCTCACCAAGTGGGAGAGCCGTTCTCACCAAGACAAGTGGGAGAGCCATTCTCACCAAGTGCGAGAGCCGTGAAGATAGACCAGTAGGGAGAGCCGTGAGGAAAAGAGAGATGGGCCGAGCCGTATAGCAAAAAATGGGCCGAGCCCCTCTCCAACACGCCTGGGCCGAGCCGCGCCTCGGTGAGGTGGACCAGCTTACGTCTCGACTCAAATGGCAAGTGTCCCGAGCCGTGGAGAAGTTTAGATGGGCTGAGCCGCGGAGAAGCTTAGAAGGGCCGAGCCGTGGAGAAGTTCAGATGGGCCGAACCGTGGCCTTGAGAGACAAAGCCCATAAAAACCCTAGGCGAAATACAAAGGCGGTGAGCCGCACGAGGCGATATGGAAATATTCCGAAAATCTCTCCCGAGATTCTCGGCTAGGCGGTTCAGAGAGTTAGTATAAATAGACGATGTATACAATTCATTCTGTAACTTTTGCAACCCTAAGCAATAAGAGCTAAAC